AGAGAGAGAGAGAGAGAGAGAGAGAGAGAGAGAGAGAGAGAGAGAGACGAGGAAGAAAAGATGCACCGTTAATGTGTACAATCAGTTGGTTCAGCCCTACATAGACACAAAGGGTATTAGGCACTAGGCTCACACGCAATTCCCAAGACAAGCCACAAGGTGGTGCCAAAGCAACCAGAACTGTTCCCGAACAACAAACATCTCCGTAAACAACTTCATTTCGGAGGAACAAATGAAAAGGAATTTGGAGGCCAGGAGACCGCTGTCACAGAAGTCAGAGCTTTGAGGCTTAGGTGATGTTAGTTAAAGTAAACACAGTCTTACGTTAGGAGGGAGGAGCAAACTGCAAATTCACAAAGGGAACAGACTGTTCGAGAAGGAACGCTAACATCCACCAGGTGTTTTTTTTTTGTACATTATGTCTTCATTTCTAATAATACCCAGGACCTCTGCTGTCATCCCTGGAGGGTGATGACTGGATTTAGGAAGTTGTGGTCTTTATTTAAGGTCTCATAGTGAGTTGAGAGCTGGTTCTGAAGTCCAGTCTCTGAATATTCCAATCACAGTTAATACTGTCTTCTGGTATTTATTTCTTCCTGCATGGTCCTTTGCACACTGTTCTGTGACGGACAGGGTGGTGGAGCTGAGCCAGGGAGAGGGTCTGTCCCCTTTCCTAGCTCCGCCTTACTCCAAGAACTGAGACTCAACAATTCCAAAGTGGAGAAACTAGTCAAGTAATAATGATAATAATGACGGCTTTGTCACTGTCTGACACAGACCCTCTTTGTCCCTTGTAATGGGGACAGTAACAGCTCCTTGGAGCAAGCGTGTTAAAGAGTGTGCACTCCTGAGATGATGATGAATGGATCCTGATAACATGTAGCCCATTAGTGATCACAGGGATCCTGTAGCACACAGGACATTCGGACTTAAGTAAATGACAGGACTCTATGTAGGCGGTAGGAGATGGTGGTGGCACCGTCCCTTTCAGACAGCTTGTTTATCAGCCACGTGTGAAGCTAAACCAGTGGCTTCATTAACTGTGCTTTGGGCCCCAAAGAAGCTTGCTTTCAAAAAAAAAAAATCTTAAAAACAGTGCTTTGGACAATGGACTTGCATCTGTTATCAGCGATAGTCCTTGCTAACTGCTGATTATATATTGCTCCGTATTGTACTTGCTAGGAATCTTTACCAGGCGCCACAATACTATGAGAACCAAGAATTTGAAGAAATATGTCAGACCTTTTAATGCCCAGAGACCTAGAGTATTAAACCAAGAGTTTTTTAAAAAAATTTAAAAAATTACAGTTATTTGGTGTGTGTGTGTGGGGAGTGAGGCATGTGCTTGCCGTGGCACATGTGTGCAGGTCAGAGGGCAACTTTCCAGGAGTCTCTTCTTTCTATCACATAGGTCCTAGAGATGGCTCTCAGGATATCAGCCATGGTAGCAAGTGCCTTTACCTGCTGAGTCATTTTATGGATCCTTAAACCAAGGTTCTTTTTAAAATTTATCTCCTAAGTATAGTCTTCACCATCAACAAGGAAATTTTTCTTTGTGGCAGATGGAGAGACAATTACAGAAAAACAATCAAACCTAGAGTGTGGAGCCCAGTCCCAACTGAGGCTTCTATAACTCAACTCCCACACCTAAGGCTCAGGGATCAGAGCCAAGGAGAAGAAGGACTGGAGGAGCCAGAAGAGCGGGGAGTTTGCTGCGACACTGTCTCTCCTCGGAGTGTCAGAAGCTACACCCATGAAGTTTCGCCAACGTGACTGTCTAAACACAAGCTGGACAACGGCCCAACCAACAGCCTTGCTAAAGTGGACGGGGGAAGCTCATGAGGCCTCAACCTAAGCAAAGAACTACAGGCAACTAAGAAATGATAAAAGCAGGAGAAATCGTCTGACCTAGGGAAGAACCACCAACTGGCTATCTAATACCAAATGGTTAGCCCTGAAAACATAAACACAAGTGATATTAAAAAGACCGAACAGACTGTACTTACGTATTTAGGAACATACACACACACACACACACACACACACACACACACACACACACACGTATGCATACCACCATCACCATCACCACCAGCAGCAGCAATAACAACAATTAATGGAAAAAGAGAGCAAGGAGGAATATGGGGAAGATTGGAGGAAAAAAGGAAGGGGACGATGTACATGATATTAAATCTCGAAAAGAAATAATTTTAATAAGGTATTGATCTCCTAATTTTCATGACATATACTTAGTTTTTACTATTAAGACAGAAGAACTAAGCTACTTAGCACCCGTTTTTGTCTCATTCTTAGTTCAATTTGCTGTTACACATTTTAGACATATTTTTAACACTTAGACCATGTTAGTTGGTAGCAATGCATGAAATTCAAATGTAATGTAGACACACACACATATCTTCAAATTCATATGTAATGTAGACACACACATATCTTCAGGTTGCTCTGCTCAAGAAAGAACAAAACCTTTTTTTTTTTTTTTTGCAGACAGGGATGGACAAGAACAGAATAAAGATATTTAGACATCCTAAAGCGAAGGTAAAAGAATCGGAGGTGTCTGATGTGCTGAGGGTGGGGGTTGGATGGGGTCAGGGGTGGGCATGGGTGTGGAGGAGGTCAGTGTGGGGCAAGAGGAAGACATAGGAGACCTTTGCTGAGACTAACACGACGTATCTGAGCTGAGTCCACACAGTTTGGGATAATCACCGAGGGGCTCAGTGCTGAACAGGCTCCGCTTTGAGGTCTCCTACGCTCGAGCCGAATTAGCTTTGGCTTCCCCTCAAACTAAAGCTGCTTTGCTTTCTGCTCCCACACACAGACAGTGTCTGTGCTCACACGTAGGTTCTAATGTCAGGAAGGGATCACAGCAGTGAACTGGACAGTTAAAATACTCGCCATTTCCCGAAGAACAGCAGCCATCCGAACCTTTCAATGAGGTTAAATTAAAATGAAAACCATGGTGGTGCAGTGGAAGCAGCTTGGTTCTTAGCCCCAGCTGCCATGATTGTTTGTGGGACTATGGGATCTGCTGCTGACTTTGCCTTATCAGGGAAATCCGAGATCTGTCCTTACTAGACAATCATCCTTCCTTCCTTCCTTCCTTCCTTCCTTCCTTCCTTCCTTCCTTCCTTCCTTCCTTCCTTCCTTCCTTCCATTACTTTAAAAAGTTAATTTGTCTCATCTTTCTGTGTTAGTCTCCTCACTGAGTAAAAGGGAAGATCACCCAAATCTATCCATGAGGGGAACTGGCAAGATGTGCTTCAGAGTCTCAAGCATTTGAATGCTTTGGGGGCACTGTTTGGTGAGGCTTAGGTGTGGCTTTGCTGAGGAAGCGTGTCCCTGAGGGCGGGCTTTGAGGTTTCAAAGGTTTTCACCACTCCCTGGGCTTCCTGCTTGTTTAAAATGTGAGCTCTCAGTCGCTGCTCTGCTGCCGTACGTCCCCTCTGGAAGGGTGATGGACTCTTCTCCCTCTGGGACTGCAAGCCCAAATAAACCCTTCCTTCTACAAGTTGACTTGGTCATGGTGTTTTTATCGGAGCAGTAGAAAAGGAACTAATTTGTGTGTGTGTGTGTGTGTGTGTGTGTGTGTGTGTGTGTGTGTGTGGCTTACGTGCAGATGCAAATGCAGGTGTGTGTGGGTGTGTCTAGCCATGATGTAAGACATTGGGTAGCCTGCTGTTTAACTCTCCACCTTATCCCTTGAGACAGGGGCTCTCACTGAATTTGGAGTCAGCAAATCCTAGTGATTGTCCCGTCCCTACCTTCCAAAGCTCTGAGGTTATAGGTGTACATGGCCACACCTAGTTTTTTAGGTGGGTGCTAGGGGATTTGAACGCAGGTCCAGATGTTCACAGAGGAAGATTCTTGTCCATTGTGCCTTCTCTTTAGATCTTGAACAATTTGAGTTATAACTAATGGAGGAAGCTGGGTGGAGGGTGCAGGTGTCTCTGTGCTACTTTTGGAACTTCTTACAAACATTATTTCAAAATTTAAAAAGCGTCTTAAAAGCGAGCCACAGCCACAGACTGCAGAGCAAACAAGCGGCTGTGCAGGAGACTGAAAGATAAAAATAAAATAAATGCAACGGCCCCAGATATTCCATGCTCTGACAGGGCCCGCACGGTCAGGCGGTCTCTAGTATCCCTGGGGTGGCAGCTGGAGGAGAATCCCCCGAAGTGCGAAAGTGAGTTTCACTGAAAGGGCAGACACCCCCTGAGAAAACGCTGGTCAGATCATCAGGAACGCAAACTGTTTTGTGGGATTAGAATGAGGCATAGTTTTTAGAAATTCCACTATTCTCTAAAGCTTTTTAAAGCAACGAATAATCATATAGAGTAATAGATTGCCTTATGAAATTGTCAGACACGTAGATCCTTTAACAGCTTCAATAACACCACGAGCCACAGTTATCCTCGCCGTAGAGAAGCACCCACACTCATTTAGAAATGGAGGTGAGAGGCGCTGACAGCCCTTCCTCCTTTCCCTTCTATCCAGGGGTTCTGACCCCACCTTTACACTTGATTTAGGTGGAGCATTGCTTCTTCCTGACTCTTTGCCAGGTGTTTCTTCCGGTGGGTCTGAAGAGATAATTTTTAAGGCTGGGGTGGGTTCAGACCCATAACGCAAAGGGAGTCTAGATCTCTGGCCATGGAAAGATGTCATTAGTAGGGGGTAGCGTTTTCTATAAAACTCAAAAGACCCATATGTGGATCTACATCTGGAAAACACTCCGCAGACCAAACCATACCGAACCCTAGAGGAGGAATCCCTTGGCCTCAGCACAGAGGCTGGGCAAGGGCCGCCCAGGCAGTGTGTCCCTACCTCGGGCGCGATGTAGTCAGGAGTCCCGCAGAAAGTATTTGTCTTCGCGTCGCCTAGCATGTTCTCCTTGCACATCCCGAAGTCTGCTATTTTGATATGTCCATCTCTGTCTAGCAGGATATTATCGAGCTTCAGGTCCCTGGAAAACAAAAGAGAAGTGAAATCTCACTCGAATCAACACAGTTTTGTTCAAATGAAATTCTCGTGGGGGAACGGTAGCTTGTGCCATCATGGCTCGGGGGAGAGCTTGAGGAGAGGCTGTGCTGCCACCAAATCCTCTGGACCAGACATGGCTCTTCTCAGTAGCTCATTGCATGCTGTCAAATGTCCCACCTCCCCATATCCAGTGGCTCATGTTCAGGGCTTCTCTTGAGGCCCTTGCTGCCCCGGCCATCTGGTTTGGGACAGATACTGCAACAGATCACCACATCTTCCATGCCTTCTGAATACTTGCTGCACCTTAGGGGCTCGATCCATATTTCCCGTGTGGCTATGTCAGCAGGAGAGTGAGAGCATCAATGCCCCATGTGGCTGTCCCAGCGGGAGAGTGGCTATCTTAGCGTCCCGAGTCATTGTTCCAGGGGCAGTTCTGGCAACACACGAAGCACTCACTGATATGCATGGAATCACTTCACAATCAACCAATGGTTATGAGCTGTGAAGCGCACCCGAGTAACTGTTTCAACTGCTAGTTCCACTCCCCGCGAGAACAAGCTGACGAGAGAAACAGAGTAGAACCCAGCTATGCTGCCCCAGCTGAGACTTAGCCGATGTCCCCGGAGTTATGTCTTCCATTTGGTCCAGTTTAGTCATCTCTACTACCCATATGACACCAATAGTTTCTGTGTGACTGGGAATCCCTAGACATGTCTCAGATTCATGACAGCACCTGCTTCTCTCTGTCCCTGCCACACTTTCATGGTCAAGACAGAAGATGCCTGCTGCGTCTGAGCCTTCTCACTGGAGAGTGCTGGTCTTCTGACTCCTAATGTTTCACTGGAGCTAAATACATGTCTTACCAGCTATATCCATTCAGTCCAATTACAGGCTGATCTAAATTCACACACTAACGATTCAGGCTTATTAGCTAGTCCATATGCTATGCCATATTGGTGTCATTTTAAGTTTGTCATTTATAGATAATATAGTTCTAAAATTTGGCTGAAGTTGGTGCCGTCATCTCCAGAGAGCTAGATCCTGCTGTGTGATGCTTTAGAAAAGACCAGGACAATGGCCCCAGTATCTAATACTTTGCTGGGTTCTTTTGCTTATACACACACCTATTTCATCATTTGAGTCTCACAGTAGTCTTTTGATATCAAGTTATTGTTACTAGTGTTACAGTATGAGTATATGTGAAGTATGTAGTGTGGAATACAGGTGCATGTGTGGGTGGATGCTCACACTTAAATGTGTATGTGGAGGAGAGGGGGAGACGGTGGGTATCCTGCTCTGTTATTCTCCATGCTTTCCCCTCCAGACAGTGTTTCTTACTGGGCCTGCAGCTAGGCTGGTAACCAGCAAGCTCCAGAGAGCCTCCTGCCTCCTCTCCCTCCATCATTTGTAACTGGGATTACAAATGCATGCAGTCAAACTTGGGTTTTTTTGGGGGGGGGTTGGAATTTGAACTGAGGTCTCTAAGCTTGAATAGTAACTGCTCCTTCCTACCCACTGAGACATCTCATCAACCTCATCAAGTTACTACTGATGTAGTTCCCCCCCCCCCCCAAGGTAAGATAAAAGTTTCTCATGCACAATGTTATTTATCCAGACCAAATAGCTAGTCAGTGGCCTGGAATGCAAACCTAGGCTATCTCTCTTACATTCTTTTAGTTCAAGACCACCTGGTCTTTCTCATCAAACTGGTCTTATGAAACGATACACGGATGTATTTTAACTGATTCTAAAAATAAATGTTCCCTGTGCCTCTGGCTAGGAAAAATAAGCTTCATGTCAAATTTCCAGTCCATTTTTTAAAGCGGTACAGATGTCTTTGGGATGGTGGAAGAGGAGTTCTGAGAGACCTAAGGAATGGAAAGGCCCTAAAAGACTTTTTTTTCTCAAAGCCAGACCTCCATGGAAGTAAGGACTGGAGGCAGAAGACTTGCCCTTTGGAGCAAACTAGGGATACTGTATAGAACCCAAAGATCTAGAACATTCTGAGGCAGTCATTTAACTAACTCTTCACTCTAGGACATCAAGACTCGAGAGAAGCACTTGAGAGTCCAAAGCCACTCTTTGTCACCATGGCACTTGTGTGTCGAACATAATGGAAAACTCAGTGGAACCCTTCGGCGTGTGGTCAGTTCTAGAGAAGATCTTCTATTCAGAAGCCAAGTTACAGTTGTTTCACGGTGGACCTTGCTGAACCTCTTGTTACTAAGCAATAAACAAGGCCCATGATGCCTCTTGCTTATCTCCTATGGCATCTACTGAAACAGGCCATGTAAAAGCATTTGGAAATGGCCTCAGATATGGAAGTGAGGTCTAGTTCCTCATTCAGAAGAACAGCCACTCTTTGTCTCTGATATTCTCAGAATTGAGGCTCTGAATTTTCCTGCCATGTCTGTATATTTTCTGAGTCCTTGGTTTTATATTACATCCAAATTAGCATCTCTTCAGATGCCGCTGTTCCCATGAGAAGGCTCTCCTGGATGGTGTTGAAAGACGAACAGCTACCCCAATCTCATCTCTTCAGTTCTGTGCTGCCCAACCACAGGCTCTGAACCCGTGAATCTAGTTTTGTTCTACATGAGGCGGTAAGCACCTCTAAGAGTTAATTGGCCTGTCCCTTTCTGCTTGACTTCCTCCATGTGTGTGCGGTGGGGGTGGGAAGGGTGGCTTCTCTGTAGTCATTTTCTCTATTTGAAAATTCTCTTCCCCTTAAATACAAAACAAAAAAAAACATTACCAAGATAAGAAGTTTTTGCTTTTGGAGTGCTAGCAGTCTCATAAGGTCTTTTCTTCTCTCTCTCTCTCTCTCTCTCTCTCTCTCTCTCTCTCTTTCTCTCTCTTTCTCTCTCTCTCTCTCTCTCAATTGGAATCCTATTTATTTGAACTTTTTAGCATGTGCTGCCTCTATTTTTTTCAAGTAATTCTACCCTCCAAGAAAATCTAGAGAGTGCCTTTATTTTGTTATCTTACAGTTTGGAATTCTACATATTTTCTGCCCATCATGGTCTTTAACCATGGACAATACATTAGTGGACATTTATCAGTTCATGATACAGAGTAGTGAATGGTGCCTACCTCATACATATTTATTCATACACACACGTAAGCACATACACACACGCACACACCCATGCAGCAGATGCAGGCATGCATGCAGGAACTCTCTTGTAGCCCAAAGTATCCTTGAGTTTTAATCCTCTTGCCTCCAGCCTGTTGACTGCCAGAATCACAGGCATGTACCACCATGCTTGACTTTGCATGTGCATTTTTAAAATAATAAAAAAGAATAAAATCCATGTCATACTCCCTATAATGCTGTGATTTTTAACCCATTTAAGAAAGGGAGTATTTACTGATATAATTAAGTTAAAGGTGTCAAGATGAACTCATCCTGAATTGCATGTGTGGTGAAGGCAGACTAAATTTATCATGCCTTGCTCTCATCTCACACGGAAGAGAGACACACAGGGAGAGAAGGTCCCGGTGGAGACAGAGATTGGAGTTATGTAGCTACAGATGCCTGCAGCCTCTCCTGCTGGGTATGCTGGAGAAGGGTCTTCTTCTAGAACCTTTGATGAAAGGTTCTGCTATACTTCGATTTAAACCTTCTAGTCTCTAGGACTATGACAGAATGATGTTTTGTTTTTAATGTGCCGCCAGGGTTATGTTAATTTTTTGGGTGGCCTTTCAGAGCTACGAAACTGGAGTTTGTAAACAGACCAGTGCAGCCCTGTCCCGCAGGAGGGAACGAACAGGCTCTCTTTGCCATTTCAGTCGCCTACCGGTCAAGGTACCCCTGAGCACTTGGAATGTTGCTTTAAACAGGCCAACCTCAGTGCCATCAGCAGCGGAAGTGTGGGGTCCACCATCAACAGCTTGCTGTCTTCACCAAGCAGTGTGGGGACAGGACTGGTGGCCTCATCTTGATTTTAATTATCTTCAGATGCCTCTCAAAGACCTACAATGACCTCATTCAATGAGTCAAATATTCTTCCCTGATTGGTACATAAGAAGACTTAAAACCGTGACTCACACGTGTGGATAAAGCCCTAAAATGAGTGTATGCTGTTTGTCATAGGAAGACATTTATTGGTCATTTTGTCCTACACATCCATCAGCATGCCAAGATGGAAACCTCATGCTGAGTGGGAAGAGAAACACTGGGGAATATGGATTTCAGTTTTATGGGTCCTTAGCAACTCTGCGATATCCAATTCTTTCTCTTTCCAAAATTCCTGACTTCCCCCTTTCATATCCATCAATCCATTCATTTGTTAATCTGTTCACTCATCCACTTATCAAGATATTCGTTCACCCCATTCTTACCAGTCTGTCCACATTTCAACATACAAACTATGCAATATTAAGTGCAAGTGTGCTTTACATATTACAGGCATTATAATAAAACTAAAAAAATGAAAGTTATTATCCCTAACCTACCACATTTTAGATAGCTAGGAAAAAAATTCTGAAGAGATAACTCAGTGGCTAATAGTGCTTGCTGCTTATCCAGAGGACCTGAATTCAATTCCCAGCATCCATGTTGAACATAACTCAACCACTTGTAACTCCAGCTCCAAAGAATCTGACACTTTCTTCTGGCCTCTGTAGTTATTGCATATATATAGCACACACACATACACAGCATACATACACACACATCATACAAACACACACCACACACATACATACACACTGCACACACACCACACACTACACACCTACACCCACACACCACACAAGAACACACACACCCCAAATACGCACACTGTACACACACACACACACACACATCACACTTACACTACAGAGGCACACACCATACACATACACACATCACACTCATACCACACATATACACATACCAATTCCATGCACACACCGCACACATACACATATACACCATATATACACACCATACACACAATATACACAATACACACACATACACATACCATACACACTACTTCCCCCACACCACACACACATACACCATACATATACCACACACATATATACACAACACACCCATGTACACACCACACACATACACACACACCACATATACACACACATACCTTATACACACACCACACACATGCACACACCACACACACCATGCACATACACACACCACACACACATACACCTTATACACACACTGCATACACCACACACATACACACACAACACACCCATGTACACACCACACAATACACATACCACAATGCACACATACCTTATACACATACCACACACACCCACACTACACACCCACACATCACATATACACACACACCACACATACACACACACACTACGCATACACACACACAAAACTTAAAAGAAGTTTAAATTTATACTCTAGAGTGTACATCTCAAAAACTTGAGTTTTGTGATGCTGAAGAGAGTACCCTCGCCAGGACATATCTGGAAATGGAGTGTTCTTATTATATGATTTTTTTCTGATAGTAGAACCATATTCTGCAAATACCAAAGCCTCAGTGTTGACCAAGGCTCTATTCAGCTTGCTGTCTGCAAAAAGCCAAGTGTAGGACAATGGAACTTTTAATGGTGACTCCAAGTTATGGCTATCCCAGACCAGGCCCCTGTGTTGGTGACTGGCAGTTCAGCCAGATCCTTCCAGCTCCTTTCCCTCACATCCTCTCTCCCTTCCTCTGAATCTAGAAACGAGACATCTAAAAACTAACGCTGAAGATTTTATGTTAAATATGGGTCAACTGTGTTTTGAGAAGAAAAGATGGAGTGTAGTATAGTATTCATCTAAGAGTCTGGTGGCAGAGAATGAATTAACACCATGCAAAAGAGAAATTTTGAATTCATCGATGAGGGCGGTGGAGGTGGTCTGTGTGCTTCTGTAGGGTGTAGTCACGAGTTTTCATAGATGTTGAAAGAGCTTCCTTCTCCCACACAAAAGGAAACATTGCATAAAAATTCCAAGTGACTTAAAACAGAAGGAAGAGGTAAAAAGGCACAAAGGATGGAGAAAGCAGAAATAAAGCATCAGAGTTGAAGCAATGGCAGGAAAAGAAGAGGGAAAGCCCATGCAAGGGCCCGAAGAAAGAAGGATGAAACAAGACAGAACCTCTGGCTTCCCGGATTAGAATCGGAGTGGGAAGGATTCTGGGTGGGGGCTGTTCTCCCAGGACACTTTTATGTCAGTCAACAGCAGTGCTGAAATGAACGGGGCTGTGGAATCAACCCAGAGAACAGCTTACCTGTAGACAATTCCTTTGGAATGAAGAAACTGTAGACCAAGGATGATTTCAGCAGCATAAAACCTGTCAGAAAGACAGTCAAGACACAGCATGGGTATAGGAGGAGCAGGGCAAGAGCCCCAAGCCTTGTGATAGTTCATGTATATTCAACTAAATGGCACACATGCGCTTTTGCTGAATTCCAGGAAGGAAGATGTCATCCACTCTGCACTTAACACAAAGGTTCCTGCTCACCTGGTGTCTGCCCAGAAAGCATCATTTAAGAGCTGGTGAATCTGCTGTTTGCTCTTATCTCCTAAACTATACTATCTTAAAACTTATGCAAACATGAAATGTAATAAATAGTACAGGGTAGTAGGAAAATTAGCTTCCTCCTTTACTTTAAATTCTGCCTAGAGCCGACAGAGCCTTGTGCCGGGCCGTTTCCAACATATCTGGCTAGAATATTTTCATATTGATGTTGTTAAGCTTGGGCCAGAGCTATAGACTGAGAGGGGGCAAAAGGATATGAGGAGACAGACGGTGATAAGCTGGTCCTCATCATCAGTGGTGACAGGCTTAAAGGAAATGAGGTTATGTCTCTCTAGTGGGATTAAGTCAGATATAAGGGAGAGCTTCTTGGAAGGGAAATTTGCTGGGTCCTAGGAAGAACGCATTTAGAGGACAACAGGGGCAGCAGGTGTTCAAGTTGGCTTCATTCAAGCTTTATAGAACCCTGGGGGACAGAATGACTCCCCCCTCTTGTCCTGCAAGTGTGCAGTGCCCGGTGACTTATGCTCAATGCTGCAGAAACCTGATAAAACGATCACAGGTTCTTGGTTGAAGGTGCCTGAAGACTTTGGGAGTGGCCAGTGCTCCCTTCTAGAGTTGATAAGACAGCCATGGTGCTGGTTTTTGCAAAAGTCGGTGGACCAAGTTCATCTTTCAGCCCAGTTCTGCCTAAATCACTTTAAGTGGTTATGAAGGGGTATATGATAGATTGCCGAGAATCAAGGGAAAATAGCTAGTATGTAGTTATTTATTGTATATGTATACATGTATGCATTTATTGTGTATCATGGTGCATGTGTGCAGATTAGAGGACAGCCTACGTAAGTCTGGGACGGGACCAGGTCATGAGGCACCCTTCCCTACTGAGCCATCTTGCCAGCCCTAGCTATCATTTGTAAATGATGCCAGTTCCACTGCTTCTGCTTGCTTGTATGCCACTGTGGGTTTATCAGGAGGGACGCAGGACCAAGGCTAAGGGAAAAACAACGGCTGCAGGTGAGCTGCGGGACCCAGCTGGTAGGACCCGCTGTCCTACCAGGGAAACAGCTGACTCCACTAGCATCTCCAGCTGTTTGATGCCAGAGAAGGGAAGGGTTATTTTCAAACACAGGAAGGGCTGAATGCTTTGTAACTTCCCATCGAGCTTCTCGATGACAGGCTGAAGCTAGGTGCCACCCCCAGGGTCACCTGAGACATCTGTGCTCCATTTCTCTGCTCTTTCCAAGGGGTACATATTTGCATCTGTGTTCAATGAGTTAAGAACTCGATGGCCTGGAGGGGGCTCCTATGAAATGAACGAATGGTTTGATTCCTGTTGAACGTGGAATAAGACAGGAGTGGACTTCAGTTTTATAAAAATGGGAAATTGTTGGCTCGTGTGACATGTTTCCCATGGGACTTAGGCATGCCAAGCAAGAAAGTAAGAAAAATAATCTATGAGGGGGTTGGAGAGATGGCTCAGTGGTTAACAGTACTTGCTACTCTTTCAGAGGACCCATGTTTGAACCCCGGTACCCACAGCAGGTGACTCCCAGCTGCCTGGAACTCCAGTTCCAGGGCATCTGACACCTTCTTCTGGACTCCAAGGGCACAGCACGCACATGTGCATAGACACACACACACACACACACACACACACACACACACACAAGCACACACACGATCACAAAAACTAAATATAAAAGACCACACGAGGAAAGCAATCTGTGGGTGCGTGCTGGGTGCACATCAACCACCAGGAATACAGAATGTCCCAAATACCAAGTGGGGCTCTTACGTGGCTCTGGAAAGATCAAATTTGTGGCAACTTTGGATGTGGTACATTAAATCTCCCCCATTGAGGTACTCCATCACGAAAAAGAGGTTTTCCTAGGGGGAAAAAGACAACCAAACACCAAGTTTTAGCACTGAAAGAAAGAAAAGAAAGTTGACTTTTCAAAAAGATCAGACAATTTTAGAGAAATCAATTCTATCATGAAATTTCTCTCAGCTGAACTATATTGTTGAACCCCAGGGCATGTGTGGAATCCCCCTGGGAGGGTGGTAACACAGTAAGCGACTGTGCTCTGTGACCCATGCAACAAGAAGCAGAACCCAATGGGATCTGTCTGCTGAACTATGGGCAGCATGGAGCACTTAGTGGGTGTCAATCACACACTTGCCACAAGAGACAATGTGGAGGTTGGTGTCTGGGTCTCTGACGCCAGGAACAGGGTGGGGACCTCCATGTTATATGATGCTCAGCCAACACTCAGTGAGCATGCCCTGTGGGTGATATTCCAGGTCTTCCATCAAAGAGTCCTCAGTCTTGTCATCGAGTTCGTGTATTACGTTCACGTCCACATGTCACTCGTGGCAGAGGTAGCCGTAGTTTTTGAGCATGTAGCTCCTAGCATAGGATGAGGGCCCTGCCTGGTATTAGAAATCCAGTGCTCAGAGGCAGTGATCAACAGAAAGCCTGAATCATCCTCAGGTGACAGTACCAGCTATCGGAGGTCCCAGATACCAACCAGATCATGTTTCACCAATACAATGAGGCACCGTTTCTTCCAGAAAAACAATCACAGTTCTTTGAACACCTGGATGCTTAAGAGTTTTTAAGAGCCACAGAGTCACTAACCCATGAAGCGTGGAGACGGTGTGTTTGTGCACGAATTTGCACTTAACCTCAACCGAGTGATTTTTTTTAAAAAGCCAGAGTTAACTTTATGTCTGGAACTGAGACTAATTGGGTATTAAGGCGGACAAGGTAACGGTTCAAAGTGTTCTGGCCTCATGGTAACATTCATTGCCTGTCATCTGTACTGAAGCCACATTTCCCCAGCACGAGAAAAGCTAAATATCATGGCAATTATCTTGATAATTCAAGTGATGCATTCATCCGCTTCTTTCAAAATTGACTAAGATAAAATTTTTAGATTCCACTACTTGAACTGCAACACACAAATACACACATACACACACACTCTCTCTCTCACACACAAACACACACACACACCACACACACACACACACACACACACACACCACACACACACACACACACACTTTTTTTGGTCTGCTGCGTACAAACCAGAATTGCCAATTCAATCACTGTAATTTAGCCCTGACATTTCAAACAAGGGTGGCCATCTCCCTCATCTGCAGGAACCTGCATTTCCTTGGCACACCTTTTCCCCACTGTGATTAATATTTAAACCACTTCTGGCCTTTACCATTTTCACTCAGAACTCTACTGGCTTTGAACAAGCCCCGGCACCGGCATCTTTCTCTCCTATGGATGATTAAACTCGCATGCCAGGAGCTAGGGGAGATGGCCCGTGGGTAAAGTCCTTATGTTACATGCAAGCACATAGACCTCAGTACAAATGCCAGCACCCACGTAAAACAGCCAGACTTAGTGGTATGCATTTGCGATACCAGTGCCACGGAAGTGGAGACAGGTGGATTGTCAGGTTTCCCTGGCCAGTCAGTCTAACTTCTCTGGTAAGCCCCAGGTCCTAGAGAGAGACCCTGTCTCAAAAGCCAAGGTGGGCAGATCCTGAGGAGTGACACATCCGGTTTACTTCTAGCCTCCACAGGTTGTGCACACTTAAGTTCCCATACACACTTGCATACACATTCACCCTTACACACCCACCCACACATAAAACCAGTTGGTAAGATCATCTGAAAAGGCAAAGGCGGTCGGATGTTCCTTTTTAGTGGCAGGATATGAATGGAGCCCTGCAATGTTTGTTTGGATTTCCCAATTTATACACTGTCAGTTTAGATTTGGAAAAAGTGGATAAACGAGACTGGTGGGAAAAAGCTGTAACTCTACCCCACATATTTCACACATTCTTCCTGTGACAAGGGCTTTGTGAAAGTTGGGGGCTTAAGGGAGGACCTGGTCATTGTCCTCTTGGTTCACTCTTCTTAGCTCAGGAAGAAGTTTCCACTCGGCAGGGCTTTTCATAGCAACTCAGAAGGAGTCCAGGTCAGCTAGACCTGACTGGTCCTGAGCAAAGTTTCGTTTTATTACTCTGCTGTGTCCCTGAGTCCTTCCTTCTTTAGTTTTGCCGTGTGGTCGTGGATAGCCTTGACAGCCTGCTACAAGCAATCCCCAGCACCCCCAGATCTCAGGAAGGATCAACCAAACTAGTTTGGTCAAGAAACCCCAACAAGCCGGCCCTCATGTTACAGTATCAGATTAAACACTGACTTACAAAGCGAGTACTCCTCCAGGGCTTTCTACTAACGCCACGCCCTTCAGAATGCAATCCCCGAATGTCCTTCCACTGTCCGGTGACTTTATTAACAGAACAGGACAATACCGTGTTGTTTCCATCTTGTGCTTAGCAAGAGTCAACCCGTTTGAGGGTGAAGGTGTCTCAGAAGCAGGAATTTACTGACTAATGCTGAGGGGTCCTGGCTAACATGAGAGGGTTTGATGTGGCATCCAGAGACGTGTAATGACTGCCCAACTTCCAGGTTGCAGTCATGATATGCACAAAGCTCTTAATGTTATGGCCTAAAAACAAGCAGGTCACAGTGTTTCTTGCTTTACTGTGATTTCCTGACAAGTGACTGAAGACAAGCATCAATACTGGTGTTTTTTTACTAGATGGTCGCTAAAGCCTCTCTAGTTGTATTATTATTATTATTTTAATTGTGTGTGTGTGTGTGTGTGTGTGTGTGTGTGTGTGTGTGTGTGTGTATGTGTGTGTCTCTATATGTATCTGTGTGTGAGTATGGGCATAACAGTTCGGTTAACCTCTAAAGCCAGAAGCTGGTTTCCCTTGGAACTAGAATTACAGGCGATTGTGAGCCACCTAATACGGGTACTCTGCAAGAGCAGTATGTGCTTCGGTTGCTTGTTTGGTTTGTTTGCTCAAGACAAAGTCTTTCTATTATGTAAATCTGCCTGTCCTGAAACTTGCTACATAGATTAGGGTGGCTTTAAACTCACAGAGATCCACCTGCCTCTGCCTCTTAAGTGCTGGGATTAAGGATAGGCATCATCTCTGGGCCTCCATCACTCTCCAGCCCCTGTGGCTTTGTGTCTCATTGTTTTCTTGGTGCCTTAAACTGTGCTTATGGTATGTAATTCTCGTTATTTGTTGAGTTTTTGTGTGGTTCGGGTATCAGGGTGACTGTGGCCTCACAAAAAGAAAATAGCAATGTCCCTTCTGTTTTTATTGTGAAGCAATTTGAAGAGTATTGGTATTAACTCTTCTTTTAAAGTCTGGTAGAATTCTGCATTAAAACTGTCTGGTCCTGGGAGCTTTTTGGTTGGGATACTTTTAATGACTATTTCTATTTCTTTAGGGATTAATTTGATCTTAATTTAACTTTGGTAAAGTATATCTATCAAGAAATTTGTCTATTTCTTTTGGATTTTCCAATTTTGTGGAATGTAGGTTTTTGAAATATGACCTAATATTCTATGGATTTTCTCTGAATCTGTTGTTATATCCCAATTTCCATTTCTGTTTTTGTTGATTTAGATGTTTTCTCTCTGCCTTTTAGGTAGTTTGGATAAGAGTTTATTTATTTCTCTGATTTTTCTTGAAGAACAAACTCTTTGTTTTATTGATTCTTTTTATTGTTATCTGTGTTTCTATTTTACTGATTTCATACCTTAGTTTGATTATTTCCTGCCATCTACTTCTCTTAGGTATGTCCATTTCTTTTTATTCTAGAGCTTTCAGGTAACTTCAATGCAAAAGTACTCAATAAAATACTGGCAAACAAAATCCAAGAACACATCAAAAAAGATTATCCACCATGGTCAAGTAGGCTTTATCCCAGAGATTCAGGGATGGTTCAACATTCGAAAATCTGTCAATGTAATTCACCATATAAACAAACTGAAAGAAAAAAAACACATGTTCATCTCTTTAGATGCTGAAAAAGACTTTGATAAAAGCCAACATCCCTTCAGGATAAAAGTCTTGGAGAAACCAGGGATACAAGGGGCATACATAAACAAAATAAAAGCAATATATGACAAGTCAATTGTCAACATCAAATTAAATGGAGAGAAACTTAAAGCAATGACACTGAAATCAGGAATAAGACAAGGTTGTCCACTCTCCCCATACCTGTTTAGGATAGTACTTGAAGTTCTAGCTAGAGCAATATGACAACTAAAGGAAATCAAGGGGATACAAGTAGAAAAGGAAGAAGTCAAAGTATTATCATTATTCACAGGTGATATGATAATATGCATAATTGACCCCAAATATACTATCAGGGAACTCCTATAGCTGATAAACACCTTCAATAACGTGACTGGATACAAGATTAACTCCAAAATATCACTAGCTCTTCTATACACAGAGAATCAATACTCTTTACAACTGTCACAAATGTTATAAAGTATCTTGGTATAACTCTAACCAAGCAAGTGAAAGACCTATATGACAAGAACTTCAAATCTTCGGAGAAAGAAATTGAAGAAGATATCAGAAGATGGAAAGATCTCCCATGTTTATGGATCGATAGAATTAACATAGTAAAAATGTCCATGTTACCAAAAACAATCTACAGAATCAATACAATACCCATTAAAATTCCAACACAATAATATTCAACTTCATATGGAAAAATAAAAACTCAGGATAGCTAAAACAATTTAGAAGTCCCCCAACCGAGGAATGGGTAAAGGAAATGTGGTACATCTGCACAATGAGTATTACTCATACATTAAAACCAAGGACACCAGGAAATATGAAGACAAATGGGTGGAACTGGAAAGAATCATCCTGAGTGAGGTAACCCAGACTAAGAAAGACAAACATGGCATGTGCTCACTCCTAAGAAGATATTAACTGTAAGATAAATGATAACTATGCTACAACCCACCGACCCAGAGAGACAAGGTA